CTTCCGTTGTGGACCATTCGCCCACCTTTGGGTGCTGGTGTGATATTGACAGGGCTAAGTAGGCACTGGTGGGACCTTCCGTGTCCCTTTGCTGCTGCTGCTTTCGCAGGCTGCCATAAACAATGGGTTTTCTATGTTGGACAAGTAGATGTCCTAAGACATTTCCTGGCACAGCCAAGACATGCATCGACTGTGTCAGTGTGCATTATTTACTGCTGCTCTTTGTGCCTTCCCTGGAGTGACGGGCTTCCTGCACCAGACTTTAAGAAGACAGAAGTTTTCTTCCTTGGGCAGCATTTAGTCATTTGGCTGGATTTGCTGTTCCTGGGATGAGTAATCGTGAAAGCATTTTTTAAAAGCCCGCAGCCTGAAAACCAATGTATTTCTAAGTCTGAGCCTGAAGATTTGTTTGCTTATTTATATTGAGAAGAGCACAATGCCTGGTAATCTCTATTGCTTCTATTACTTTTCTCCAGGTTTTTAGAGCATGTCAAAAATGAGGAAAGCCCTCTGCCACCTCTTGGTAATCACCATGCATTCTTCAGCGATGACCAGGAACCTTCTCCAGTGACTGAAATAGCTAACCTGATTCATGACTCCTATGAGGTAAAATACTGCTCCATTTATACTGGTCAGTTATGTTAGAATATTAAAAAGGTTAAGTTCAGCGTGGATGTTTTGAAAATCAATGCACATCTTTACAGAGTCCTTGAATTGTTGCACAATGCTATGTGTAGTATAAATACCTGCACTTGACAGATCAATTGGAGACTGGATATGCTTTTTCTTTAAGGGCTCACAGTACTTTAAAAGTTGTATTTCCAGTAAATGAGAAATAGAAATATCATAAAATACTGTAAGAATAATAAACTTCTGTTGCTTCCTTGTAGAAATTTGGAGACCACTCTGTGGCCCAGATAGAGCATATGCGCTACAAACACCGAATCCGTGTCCTGCAGAGCCATGAAGACACAACCAAGCAAAATGTGGTGAGTAGGGTATTGTTTCCACTTGAGTAGAATATTATTTTGACTGAGGTAGTTCAGCATCTCCCCTCTCCCCCAGCACTGTCACGCAGCTGGCTTTTGTTTTTGAGAAGGCACCACCAGATCTTGAAAAAAGGAATTGACTCTGAAAAAAGCTCTTTCCTGGGATGCTGTTGGGTTTGTTTTTTCTTTTTGCAGCCACATGCATTATTTTCTAGGGTGGTTTTAACATTAAGATCAACTATAAGATCACACAGCCTAGCACTTTGTTTCTGACCATGACCCTAGGTAGCTCTGGGGAGAGTGTAAGAAGAGAGTGTGGTGTGATGCTTCCCCAGCCTCCTGTGACTTGCAGCTTAGGGACTTCCTGTCTTTGTTTCTAATAGCCCTTGGGGGATTTCTCTTTTCATGGATCTGTCAACTGATGAACCTAAATAAGAAGGAAAAAATTGCAAAGATTTTTCAGTGCTGTAGTTTTCAGTTGTACCATGTAGATACAGTCCCTATGGGGCTCATGGGCCTGCCTGTGTCAGTGATGACAGGAGAAAAGATTCTCACTAACATGATGTTCTTTTTTTTTTTTTTTAAAGCTCCGAGTTGTCATTCCAGATGTGTCGATTCTTCCTGAGGATTTAGAGGAGTTGTATGACTTATTCAAGGTTAGTCTCCCTGAAAAGTAGGGGATGCACCCATTTGAGGCATCAATCTAAGCTATGTAACACCGGAGTAAAGTGTAGGTTTGACAAAATGGTGATTTTTTTTTTTTTTAAAGCTCCGAGTTGTCATTCCAGATGTGTCGATTCTTCCTGAGGATTTAGAGGAGTTGTATGACTTATTCAAGGTTAGTCTCCCTGAAAAGTAGGGGATGCACCCATTTGAGGCATCTGAGTGTAACTTAAAGCTGTCACTTTGCACAGCCACCTTAGACCTTGTGGGCAGAACTATGGGATGAATGTAGTCCTTTCTGTGACTGCCCAATTGTTACAGAGGAATAGTAACATACTGATCCTTCAAAGGAGAATTGATTCAGAGTGTCTTTTCTAACTTGCTGCTTGGAAATGGTCCATGAGAAATTAGGTTCCGGTAACTTTTGCATGCAGAATAAATAAAATAACTCTGCTTACTGGGAGCTCTGTGGTACTTCTAAGTCCTATTCTCTGAAGGCAGACTTTGTTTTCCGTGGGGGAAAAAAATCCCCACAAACCTGTGTCCTTGCTATTTGTTCCAAATTTTCTAATTGTTTTAATTCCTCCCCCCACTAAAAACATTTCTACTTCAGTTCCTTTCTGTCAGGGCTGATGTTTAAAATAACTGTTTCAAAAGTTACTTGGAGACAGGGACACCTAGGAGTATACAAAAATAGAAGTCCAAGCATGTAATTATCACCCTTAATGGACCATCTATTTTGTGTATAGTTCATAGCCATAAATACTAGGTACTGACAATATGACTGGCATGTTCTTAGTGGTACGTAGCTCTGCGGTGAAGAGCAGTTATATCCTCCCTCCATTAGTGGTTGTAAGACAATGCTGCTGGAGCTTGCTCTTCAGTGCTTCCCTACTGCTCCTTGCTGCTCTATTTTTGAGCTTTAACTGGCTTGCCCTCCTCCCATTTCCTCATTTCTTGGTGGTGGTTCCTTTTTTACTTGCTCCCTTTCTCCCCCAGGGACAGCTTGTTTTGTCAGAACGCATTGTTTTGCATCAGCCTGTCCCCAAGGGAAGACTGGTGTGTACGGCATCCAAATGGAAAGGTCTGAGAGGGAATAAATGAGCCAGTCAAGCCTGTGTAATGTTTACCCTGGATTTTCTCCGACCCTCTGTACCTTTGGCTGGTTAGAGACATCCTAGGCCAGATGTGGCTCATAGAGTTCCAGCTGCCTGCAGTGAATTTCTTCCAAAGGTCTGCCCTTCAAATTTATTTATTATCTATTGGAAATTGTGAGAGCACTTGGCTGCTCTAGTTAAAGATTCATACTCCCGCTTTTTCTCACAGTGATGGTCTTGGTTTCGTTGCAACACCTGGCACAAGGAGAATTTTGAGCATTTCCAGCACTTGGATGTGAATGCCTTTTTCTGCTGGCTGTGCTCTCTGATGCTGCGTGCCACAATCCCTCCCCCTCCCTGCTTCTGGTTTCTCCTAGAGGGAGCATTTAATCAGATGTTACTGGGAAGTGCCGAGTCCGGTTGTGGAGCGACACGACCCCAGCAGACCGTACGCCGAGCAGTACCGCATCGACGCCCAGCAGTTCACTAACCTCTACAGGCTGGTCTCGCCCTGGACCTGTGGGGAGCACACTGATGTCCTCGCCCGAAGGACCTTCCGGCTCCTGGATGAGAACATGGACCAGCTGGTTGAATTCAAGGGGCTCGCCAGCTGCTTAGGTATCAGCTCCCTGGAGGGGTGGAGGGTGGGCAGAGCCCCGTGGGGGCAACACAGGGGTGAAGCACAGATAGGTACAACTGGCAGGTTAGGATGCAGGCAGATGGTTTTCTCAGGCTTGTAATTAGCTTAACCTTTACTAGTTCTTCTGTATTCCAATCCCCTGAAGTTGGTTAGATTTAAAAGAGAGCTTAAAGTCATGATTGTTGAATATTGTATTAAAGTATTTTCTCAGACAATAGTAATTTTGTTGAAAATATTTTATGAATTAAAATCATACTTGGGTCTGTATGGAAGGCTAGGAAATCCTCTCTACTGGATTGCTGCTCTCTCTATGCCTTTGGAAATCTCAGGATACCTCTTTGTTGCTGCTTCTTGAAGACCTCATCTTACAGCCGACTGCTGCTTGCCTTGTATGTTGACAATTAGCAGAACAAAAAAGCCCCTGGCCAGCAGGGACTGAGAGCTGTGCTAGGGCTGGCCACCAGCTGCTCTAATGAAATGAGGCTGCCCATCCCAAAATCTGACTGAAGAACAAAGTGCCACATCTCAACTGTTGCCTGGCCCCACGTGAAACAAATGAATCAACATTCAAAGCTTCAGCAAAAAGCAGTACATCCATATTCTGCCACTTAAGCTTTGTAGGATTTTTTAATGTGAACCAAGTCCCACCCTGTATTACATTGTTGTATGGTTTTGATTTTTAAAGGGATAATATTCTTTGCAATATTTCAGTGCATTTTAAAATGTAAAATCTCATTCCTACTGTTCATTGAAAATACTGATTACATTATTTGTGAAGTTGTCTCCTTTGGGCATATTCTATAGAACAGCAGTAAGGGCTGAAGGAGATAAATATTAAAAACATGATGGCCCCAAAGGGAGTTTTCTGTCTCTCCCCTCTCACAGTCCTGTTTATCTGTGGCAGCAAACAGCCTTTGCAAGACTCCCTGCCATTCTTGGTATTTTTAAACAATGCTGAAGATCAGTAGGATGAGGTACTCCTAGTCCATTTTACAAGAACAAAGACCGAACCACATGGCTCTCACCTGCTGTTCCTCATCAAGGGGCACAACTTAAAATATTTCAACGTTAATATACCAGCCATATGTTTTCATGTATTGTCTATGCAAACAATCACCTCTTGAGCACAGAGATGCCTGATTTATTTTAAACTGTGGAAGAAAATGCCCTATTCAACTTCCTTCTTGCTTTGTTTTCTTGCAGATGTTATGTATAACGGAGAAATGAATGAAAAGATCAAGTTACTGTATAAGTTGCATATCCCACCTGGTAAGGAATTTGAAAAGGAACAAATACCTCAGTTCCCCTTGAAACTTTTGCTTAAAGCTTTTGGGAAAATGCTGCTTAATAAAGAACCCTATTCTGCTTCCTTTATCTGGGAAGCACATAGGATTTGCCTTTGTGGTTATGCTCACTGCATTTTTAAAATTACTTGTGCAAATTACAGATCTAGTGTTAAGGTTCACATCTGATTCTTTTGCAGCCAACTATTTGACAAAATATTGAACTGGAATAACATCTTTGGATGGCTCATATTCCATTTACAGTAGAAATATATTCACCACATCTTGATTCAGTTTGATCATGTGACAAAATTGTATGGTAGTGTCTCTGTGCAAAGTTTTTAATGAAACATGCCATTCTGGGCAAACTTCAACTCTCTCTCTGCAGCACCAGACTTACATGAACATAATTTTAATGAAGTATTGTTTCAGAACAGCTTTTCCCAACTATTTTGCTTTCTTCAAACGTGTCAATTTTAAAAGCACAAATAACCATTATGCAGCATTGGGAGGATAAATCATTACATTTTTCACTGTTTCTTTTGATAGCTCTCACAGAGAATGAACGAGACAGCCAATCACCATTAAAGAATCCTTTGCTGTCAACTTCAAGACCACTAGTCATAGGAAAAGCAAATGGTATGTCCGGAATGGTTCATATGCATGTGCATATGAGATATCAACTCCATTATCTCCACTCTGGGATTTATTTTGAAGCGTCAGTTTACTCCAGTGACTTGAAAACTGATTTTTTTCTTTGTCTGCTCTAAAAAGGTGATGCAGTAGATTACCAAAAGCAGTTGAAGCAGATGCTGAAGGATCTAGCCAAAGAAAAGGATACTAGAACTGAGAAAGAATTGCCAAAAATGAGCCAGGTAGGTATGCTAGGGGCTGTGGTCTGTCTTTTAAAGAAGTAGAGAGTACTCAAAAACAACTACTAAACACAGTTTAGCACTTTCTGAGAAAATGTGACTAGAAGACTGAATCTAAGATCAGGCTTAAGATTTTGAGGATTGGGCTACTCTGATCCAGGGACTACTAGGCATCATGCTTAAAAATGCTCAGCCACCTTCCTAGCACCTCCCTGGCCTCAGAGTGCCTGTTGAATAGAAAGGATTTCAGACTACCTTCACCTGCAGTGTAACAGGCTGGAAAACAGGCTCATTCAGGCTGGAAAAAGGCCTCTGACCAAGCACAGAGAATTCCTGAGATTCCATATTGCTGTTTTGTCATCCCTTCCACCAAACGTGTAGTTTCTTTCTTAGTCTTATCACCAGCCTGAACTTGCTCCATCATAGGCAAACACTGACTGGAACTGCACAAAGTAAGAAAGTGGAAGGCTCTCACAATCTTACCACCTCCTCCCTAATGCCAGCAGAACTTCTGTGTATGTTGGCATGAGGAAATCTGGAGTTGGAAATTGTTGTCATATACCTACCCTGTCAGCTCAAATAGGGCTATGTAACCTCTCATAAAGGCATCACTTGATGGAACTTCTGTGGTCCCTTGCACCTTGAATTATCCATCCTGTGACTGTAGGAAACTTGAGTGCTCACAAATTTCATAGCCTGATGACGATCTGTGATGGGTGAGGAGACAGGGGCTGTGCCTGCATTTTATTTTTGGTGCTCACAAATTTCATAGCCTGATGACAATCTGTGATGGGTGAAGAGACAGGGGCTGTGCCTGCATTTTATTTTTGGAAGAAAAAGAGCTGGGGAAAGTTGGGAGAGAAATGGCAGAAGGGAAGTGGCTTATAGATCTATGGATAGCTTCTTTGGTTGTAGCTCATTCTGTCAATCAAATCCCTTGTATCTGATTTGCCCTTTGGTCACCTGAGAGGTCCTGCTCTCCTTCATCAAGGCAGCAGAACACTTGTGTGATGTTCCCTTTTTGACTTGCAGCACCAAGGTTACCTAACATCAGTGGTGGTGGGGGGGTTGAAACCCTTGGGCTAATATTTTGAAAACACACGCAAAAGTTTATAAACAATCAGGTCTGCACACATTCTGCCTGCCTTTGCAGCACTTTGCTCTCACCTTACTCCTACAGTTACTCACAGCGTGGCTGTTCAGTAGTTTGATTTTGGTTTGTCATCCTTTACAGAGGGAGTTCATACAGTTCTGCAAGACCTTGTATAGCATGTTTCATGAAGACCCAGAGGAGAATGATTTGTATCAAGCAATTGCCACTGTGACCACACTGTTACTTCAGATTGGAGAAGTAGGACAAAGAAGCATCAGCCTGGGGAGCGGATCAGATGAGTTCACCGAGGACTTGCAGCCCGAGGCCTCTGCTTCAGACCAGGACACTGTTTTTACTGACACTGTGAAGATCCCTCACAAAGACTCTCAGCCTTCTCCTGTGACTGAAGGGGACTGGACTGTCTCTTTTGAACACATTTTAGCATCCCTCTTGACTGAACAGTCATTAGTTAACTTCTTTGAAAAACCCTTAGAACTGAAGCCAAAACTTGAGAATGCAAAGCTGAATCAATATAGTCTCAAAACAAATGGCATGAGCTGCCTGTCACGGGGTGAACATCCAAAACTGAACACACAGTAGCAGCAAACCTGTCAAAAAGATGATGCACTGAATTTATGCCAAAGCACATTCTGTAAAAGGCTTTCAGTTGGCAGTGGACTTTTGGAAAACAATTTGTTGGTCTGTGATTTTCAGTTTTAAGAGCTTTAAAAGCTAAAGTGTGTGTAGGTTTGTTTTGTGCCATTGATTTATTAATTATGTTCTTGTTTTGAATGTAAAAGGAAACATCTGTCTACAGTGTGAAGACACTGAAGCCCTCTTCTGTACTGGGAGAACAGATGCTGGCTCCAGTTTTTTAAAACGGGAAAAAACACTTCTCAGCTACTGTCTGCAGTTTGTTTGGGTTGCCTTTTTTGCACTAATACTGAAAACTGTTTCAATGCTGGTAATTGAAACTATTTTAATATATTTGATTGTATTCCAATTTGTATGTCTTGCTGAAATGTCAAGTGTACATGGACTGTGCTTCAGATGTGGTCTGTGAAAACATGCACTTTTCAATAAACCCTTTTTGTACTAGACTTGCATTGACAGTATTTATTGATTTATGGAACGCAAGTGCCTTTAGTCCCTACTTCATTAAACAAATTCCCTGAGCTAGCATACTCACTGTTAATTCACTGCTCAGAACCCTGTGTTTCAGTGTCATGCAGAGACCTACTTGCTTGTGAGAAGCCTGGAAGACGAGCAACAGACCAAATACACCAGTTTACTTTATCCACAAGAGATGACCTATATGAAGTATTCATCTAACAGTATTGGGAAGCAAGTTTTTGGTTTTCTTTTTAAAAAAACTTGGCCTTAACTTAAAATATCTGTGTAGTGGCTCTTTATTGCCATAGGAACAAAATCTTGCCACCCACATGGAAACATTCACATCTCCTTATTCCACTCATATGGAACAGAAGTGTACAGTACCTTTAAGAAAATTACACCATTATGTGCAAGCCCAAAGCAAGACACTTGATTATGCTGTCACTTGGTCCAACTCAGTGCTTCATAAAGGACAGCTTGAAGAGACTGGACAATAAAACAACCAACTGAAGAATAAACTTTTTATCAATTTATTGTAATGAAAATCAGTTTAATTTTCATCCACATTGACTGTCTGTAGACCTGCAAAAGAAAAAATTGTATCACCACCTATTACTAGGATCATTCCCTTAGCATTTTAGCAAGTCTTCACAAAAAAAGTGCACCTACACTTTCAAAGCTACTTTACTGATCATCTGCTTTTGGAAGAACAAGCTAGATAGACAAGGATTTCATCAAATGTTAAAACAAATACTTCATGTTATATCACAGAATCATCCTGGTTGGAAAGGACCTTGAAGATCATCAAGTCCAACCATAACCTAATCTACCTGTTCAGTGCTTACATCATGTCACTAAGCACTTTATCTGTATTTCTTTTAAACACTTCCAGGGATGGTGACTCCTCCACTTCCCTGGGCAGCCTGTTGCAGTGCCTGACCACTCTTTCAGTAAAGAAATTCTTTCTAGTATCCAGTCTAAACCTCCCCTGGTGCAGCTTCAGACCATTTCCTCTCATCCTGTCACTATTCACTTGAGAGAAGAGGCCAACTCCCACCTCTCTACAATCTCCTTTCAGGTAGTTGTAGAGAGCAATGAGGTCTCCCCTCAGTTCTTCAAACTAAACAATCCCAATTCTCTCAGTCTCTCCTTTTAGGGCTTATTCTCCAGACCTTTCACCAGCCAGGTAACTCTCCTCTGGACATGCTCCAGCAACTCAACATCCTTCTTGTTGTGAGAGGCCCAGAACTGGACACAGATGACCAGCAGAAAAAGCTCAACTTTCTGGAACTTTTGAGTTTGTACTTTATACAGCAAAACAAACCTTAAAACTACCCTAACAACTATCACCAGCAGTTTTTATTTTCTCATAAATTTTATTATTATTTCACTAAATTCTATTTTTTTTTTTAAATGCTGATCAGGCAAGCTAGCAGTTGTTCTCTACAGCAGGGTTAGTTTGATCCCTTCAGCGTGTCTTTCATCTGAATTCTGCACTGCAGGAGCTGTCCCACTGCTACATGTTCAGAAAAAACATGGCACAAAGGTAGAGAGGCAGTCAGCAGCCTTACCTTTGAATGTTGTGACTGGTACATAGGTAACCAGTGTGTACAGCTTGTTCGGTGAATCTTCATCCTCATTGCGCTTTCTGGACAAACGCACACGGATACGGTAAGGAACATTCCTGAAACAAACACGATAGATTAACTTCTAGTAACTATGTATGGAAACCTGCTAATTCATAGGAAAGAGAAGTTCTTGGGTCCATTACTAACCCTCCCAAATTCTTAAGCTTTGCCTAAGACTTGCTGAGAGTGGCAATTCTGCCCCTCTCCTGTGCTGAGGGCTCCAGAGCTGTATGCAGTATTCCACCTTGAAGATCATCAAGTCCAACCATAACCTAATCTACCTGTTCAGTGCTTACATCATGTCACTAAGCACTTTATCTGTATTTCTTTTAAACACTTCCAGGGATGGTGACTCCTCCACTTCCCTGGGCAGCCTGTTGCAGTGCCTGACCACTCTTTCAGTAAAGAAATTCTTTCTAGTATCCAGTCTAAACCTCCCCTGGTGCAGCTTCAGACCATTTCCTCTCATCCTGTCACTATTCACTTGAGAGAAGAGGCCAACTCCCACCTCTCTACAATCTCCTTTCAAGTAGTTGTAGAGAGCAATGAGGTCTCCCCTCAGTTCTTCAAACTAAACAATCCCAATTCTCTCAGTCTCTCCTTTTAGGGCTTATTCTCCAGACCTTTCACCAGCCAGGTAACTCTCCTCTGGACATGCTCCAGCAACTCAACATCCTTCTTGTTGTGAGAGGCCCAGAACTGGACACAGATGACCAGCAGAAAAAGCTCAACTTTCTGGAACTTTTGAGTTTGTACTTTATACAGCAAAACAAACCTTAAAACTACCCTAACAACTATCACCAGCAGTTTTTATTTTCTCATAAATTTTATTATTATTTCACTAAATTCTATTTTTTTTTTTAAATGCTGATCAGGCAAGCTAGCAGTTGTTCTCTACAGCAGGGTTAGTTTGATCCCTTCAGCGTGTCTTTCATCTGAATTCTGCACTGCAGGAGCTGTCCCACTGCTACATGTTCAGAAAAAACATGGCACAAAGGTAGAGAGGCAGTCAGCAGCCTTACCTTTGAATGTTGTGACTGGTACATAGGTAACCAGTGTGTACAGCTTGTTCGGTGAATCTTCATCCTCATTGCGCTTTCTGGACAAACGCACACGGATACGGTAAGGAACATTCCTGAAACAAACACGATAGATTAACTTCTAGTAACTATGTATGGAAACCTGCTAATTCATAGGAAAGAGAAGTTCTTGGGTCCATTACTAACCCTCCCAAATTCTTAAGCTTTGCCTAAGACTTGCTGAGAGTGGCAATTCTGCCCCTCTCCTGTGCTGAGGGCTCCAGAGCTGTATGCAGTATTCCAGGTGAGGTCTCATCAGTGCAGAGTAAAGACATGAAACTGTTGGAAGGGGCAGACAGAAGGGCTGTGAAGATGATCGGAGGCCTGGAGCCCCTCTGCTATGAAGACAGGCTAAGAGTTGGGGCTGTTTAGCCTGGAGAAGAAAAGGCTCCAGGGAGACCTTAAAGTGGCCTTTCAGTACCTGAAGGGGCTACAGGAAAGCTGTGGGGGGACTTTTCACCAGAGAGGGCAGTGACAGGACAAAAGATAATGGTTTTAAACTGGAAGAGCAGAGATTCAGGTTAGATATTAGGAAGAAATTAATCATGAGGGTAGTACAGAGCTGGAATAAGTTACCAGGGAGGTTGTTGATGCCTCCTCCCTAGAGCTGTTTAAGGCCAGGTTGGATGAAGGTTTGTGCAGCCTGGTCTAGTGCTAAGTGTTCCTGCTTATAGCAGGGAGGTTGGAACTTGATGATCCTAGAGGTCCCTTCCAACTCAAACCATTCTGTGATTCGTTCTATTACTCTATTTGTGCAAAGACATGATGAGTCAATTCTTTTTCTATCTCAGCATCATAGCAAGGGCAAAATCCTGCACCCCTGCACCTTAAGAGCTTGTATTGGTTGCCTTAGAGGTTTTTTTGCTTTATAGTTTTGTTAAAGTGAGCAGGTGAGTTTTAACTGAGCCTTCAATATGATGAATCCATAATCCAGCGGGAGCATTAAGTCAGAAGTCCATAATGAGTCCACTACTGATTCAGGAAATACATTAGGAAGATGATAATGATTAAGCACAGCATGAATATGCTCACAGAGCAGCTATTATTAACAAGCATTTCTTACTAGAACAGAAAATAAGTGAAGAGAAAAATCCCAATGATCTGTTCTGAAAGTCTGAGGCTTCTGTGAAGAGTCAAGAGTACTACCAGAAGTCATATGGAAATCCTAGTGAGCATTAGACCTAAACCAAGATCTTATTCATGGGCATAAAATTTATCAACACTTCTTGCTCACAAAGCCCGGTGGAACCACCACAAAATCACTTAAATAATTTTGCTTGTACTTGGCAAGTCAGAGCTTAGCATCCTCCCCTAATACACTGCTGAGGGAAGGCACAAAATTATTTGTCTACATCATTTTTCAAGTAACCTCCCACCTCAAGTTAACTTGGGATTTTGGGAAACCCCTGCTCAGAGGACTTTATTCCACAGAATATGTGAAGAACTTCCTCCTTACTGTACAGTCTCATGAGCACACTTACTAAACCAGATAGTTGCAGTTATTAAGACACAGGCACGTGCTTTGGTTTACTCCTTTCCTTAAACAAGTCAAAAGCATTTGTCACTATGTAACTGAGATCACTATCATATTAGCCAACATGGTGAGTTTAGCCTCTCCTGATCCTTCCAGAGGAAGATATTTTACTTTGCATACATTATCTGTTCCATTTAGTGAAAACTGCAGTTAAATTCACACTGGACAGACAGATGTTATCACTCCTTGCTCCACAGACTGCACATCTACCACTTAAAACAAGTGGATAGTAGCCTCACTACTCAACTTTGAAGTTAGGCTGTCACCTGGCTCAATTGTTACTTGTTCATTGCATGAAAACAAGAAGAGCT